GATAATCAATGTGGCGCTSTACTTACTCGTCAATTAAGCAATCCATTTCGTCATCAATTAATGTTGTAAACTGGCAAATAGCAGCTTTTACTTGGTCTCTTGRAAGATACCCCGACCTGAAAACGTTCCATGTGGGATGTGTCAATGTKCATGTTAAATAGGTGCGCGCGCACATGTRTAAAAATGGAACGTTTTATTTAAACTTGTTACTCACTTTGTAACGTCGTATTGTGTAAAGGCTTGTAGAATTCCATTCGACACTGGTACACCTTGACTGGTRYACTTCTGAGCCATTGCTTTGTACAAACGATCTTTCAATGAGCTSTGCTCATTACTACAAGGCACCAAGAAAATCAAATTATTGTTAGGATGCTTCAGCATAATGCAGATAATAATTATCATTAATGCTTATTAACTATTAAGCATAACTGCATCCTTTTGATTATATCAGAAAAAAACTGTTTTACAGACATGTCCCACCTTTTAGCCTCTGCGATGAAAGGTTTGACATGGAAGTCGTTACGCGTGACAGAGTAACGCACACTAGGATGTCCCGTGACATTCCAGTCTCCATTCCTAAAGACATTCGACTGATAGGTCTCTTGTAGGGCTAGAGTCGCGAGCGATGGACCATGGGTAGTTTCTCGTGATTCTGATGGGCGATAACGATGATTCGTTTCTGTACCGTAACTACAAAACAGCAAGAAAACTATGAATGCAATAATATGCTGATATAGCTTCCATCCATTTAATTGCAACAATCACAGGCGGCCCAACTAAAGGTCTTGTCAGTAAACTTACTTATTTTTGGTCGATCCCAGATGGAAATGTGTTGTCCTTAAATCTTTTGTAAGCTGTTTTCTTTCACCGGCGTTTTCGGATGCGTCTACTTTCTTTTTAAGTTCAAAAGAGACAAAAGGAAACATTGCGATTACAAACTACTGGGTGTATTAGTCTAATTTTAATCTATTTCACGGGTTTGTGGCACCAGTAAACTGTATTTAGAATGTTTTTAGCTTGAAATCCTTGAACTCAATCATACCTTTACGTCATTGTATGTGTTGGMGTAAATAGACCCATCACAACCAAACCTTTTGTCAGACATGAATTTTGATGCTAAATCCTGCAAATGAGACGTGAATTGTTCATTATAAATCAATTATTTATTCATTTCTTCAATCTATTTGTTGCTGTGTTGCGCTTTCAAATAGTAACTTCTGAAATGTATTTTTAACTTTCAGGAGATTTTGAAAAGTTCCAATTGATTTTTGATCAAAATCCAATCAACTGTGTCCAGTTTGGAAATCCAGTTTCCAAGCGACAGTGTGCTACGATCTGCTACTTACAGGAATACTTGTTCCCAAGTCCGGTCGAGCTTTCGCAGGAGTTTTCATCCATTTTCGATCAAAGTCTTTCAAGGTTGTACCAACTCGAAGATTGTCAGCGTTTCCGAAAACCATGCTTGTCAAATACTATTGAATACGAACATGTCTTATCTATTCGTGAGTTTTTCAAGTGTGAAATATAAGCTACTTACCCTCTGTCCTGACAAAGCTTTTGCACTTCTTTGAGGGTCGTACAAGATTGGATGAGGTTTCTGGAAGARAGATAACATAGTAATATAATCGAATGAAGGATCCTTGTGTTGCCTTCGTTAAATTCACACCTTTCTCGAAGAGTAACTTTAACAAGAGCTAAAACAAACACTGTTCAACTGATAAAAACAAAGGACTCTTGCTGAGTACTTAGCAGTACTTAGGGCTAATCAAACGAATCGATGTAGGAAAGCTGCCGAAAAGACCAGGAAGCGAAATGTGCTAAGTGTAAAGCCAAATAAATCAATGAAAATCAAACATTATGTTTGCCTTGTATAAAAGTCTTCTTGATCTAATGACCTTAACACGCGCGCATTGATATCGAAGAGCTGTTCAAAATGCCTTTTTCAAGCTTTTCATGATCTTTTAATGACAAGAAAGTAGTATTTTTAAGCTCAACATCTTATATCGATAGAAAAGCCAGTTAAATTACCTTAAAGCTGTTGGAACAAGTGGTAGACCATGGGATTCGACGCTGCGAATTGAAGTCCCATTCGCCTGGCTGTAAAACATTATCACGAAGCAACAAATCTTTGACATCAGTCTTCGCGCTCAGTCGAGTTGGTCCGTAAAGACTAGAGTTGGTTTGCAACCCCAAATAGCTGTCCATGATAGCAGGAAAAAAAAGTTTTATGTGATTTTTGTTTACTAATGAATTACCGGTGTTTACTGTATAAACTGGACAACTTGCGCGATGTGCTTCGCGGCGTTGCTAGGCAACATCTAATTAGTATTCATCACGCTAGAAAATGTAATTCGAGAACAGTGAAAAAAAAACAGGTTTTTGCCGCCTTGTTTTAATTTCATCAATTTTAWTTTCCAGCTGTTTAATATATTTGTCTAAATTACAAATAGACGTCTCAATATTATTTTTTTCTTCCAGATATTAAGCTTACATGTAAGATATTTCATATAATTTCTCACTTTCCTGTTTTATTTTCTCTCTCCGTTTGCGTGTTAAAAAATGATCTACATTTTAATGTATTTTTTAAAACAAGTTGTTTCTGTGTTGAACTTGGTGTGCGTATCAACAGCTGATTTGATTACCGCTTAAGTGAAATACGACGGGCTCGCAAACAAGGTGGAAGAAGACGTAACTCGACGTAAAACAGCTTTGAGTTGGATTGGAGTCTTTTGGATTTGATCTYATAAGGGTCAAACAAGCAGGAGTGTTTTACTTGTGATGGTTAACGAAGGAGAAAGTGTTGGCATAGAGTTTCTTCATTCCAAACAGCTTCTTTCTGGCTTGAATCAGTTGAGACAGAGAAGAGAACTGTGTGATGTTGAACTCTGTGTGGGGAATGTCCAAGTTTTGGCYCATCGAGTTGTTCTTTCTGCTTGTAGTGCCTACTTCGACGCTATGTTCACTGGAAACCTTTCAGAAAGTCAAAAGCAAGTGATATACATCAAGGAAATCGATGAAGCTGCTTTGAAAATTTTAGTAGACTTTGCATACACAGGGCTGGCTGAAGTCACTCAGCAAAATGTACAGGTTTTGTTACCAGCAGCAAATATGCTGCAACTGAATAAGGTGAAAGACTCATGYTGTAGATTTTTAGCCWGTCAACTTCATCCTAGTAATTGCTTAGGTATTGCTAAGTTTGCAGAGGCTTATTCGTGCCCGAGTTTAATGAAGAAAGCAAGGAAATTCACCCGTGACAACTTTTGCCAGGTCATCGAACAAGAAGAGTTTTTACTCCTTCCCGTGTCACAACTAATTGAACTTTTACGAGACGATGATCTCAATGTTGAATCTGAGAAAGTTGTCTTTGAAGCCGTTATATCTTGGGTTAAGTATAGAATTGTCGAAAGAGGGCCATTTCTTCTTCATCTACTTCAAAATGTACGACTATCTCTGCTAACCATACGAACATTGACCCACTGTATAGAATTCAACGARTTGATTAAAGCAGACCGAAAATGTTTCTCTCTTATCAACGAGCATTTGAAATTACGTCTAAAACCAGCCAAAAAACATTCTTACAACTCAGTGGTTCAAAGGCAACGGCGTTCTCCCACCCGTATTTTTGCCGTTGGAGGTAAAAATGGTTTATTTGCGACGTTGAATAGCGTCGAGATGTTTGAACCACTCAAGTTCAGATGGACAGAACTTGCACCCATGAACATGAGACGCTTCGAGTTTGGAGCGGCTGTTCTTGAAGGTAAAGGTCACTAATACAATAGAAAACCAATATATAAATAGATCTGTTTATTTTCGCCTGATTGATTTTCATGCCAAATCAGGCTATTTCTGGATATTTACTCATGAATAATTGAGTGCATATATTAAACATCTCTTTGTTGAAATATCTCTTTGTTAAAACAAAAGAGGTGCAACACAGGTGGTCTTCTGGAATCTTAAAGTTTATTACGGGGAATTCACCATTAACATATGCATTTGTATAACCATTGATGGTGTTATAAGCAGTCTATATATAGCTAGAGCGCAAGCAATTATCAGAGGAGATTTCATGCTGGCATTACAGGGATTAAAGTGTCGTTGATTACCTTAGCCGGAGATGGAGTTTTCATTGGATACTCAACTGATAATCATAAACATACAAAGAAAAAAAGACGGCCTGGGAAAGCAGAATCATTGTTTGACAAAAATTATAAATATAATGAAAGTCTTCCTTAAAGCCCATTCAAATAAGGTCAAATGATCTATTTTCATTTAATATTTCATGCTTCAAGATGTTTTCATTTGAATTACAATTTACCATACTACATAAATTACTCTTTAAAAATGTATTTTGCATGTTTTTYTATGTTTTTGCATACCAAACATTATTACTATTTGACTATAACACTTTGGTTTGCAATATCCTGTTATCTTTACCTCAATACTYGTGAATATGTCACAAAAATGCTTTGCTATTTATGTACTCAGATTCAAATCCTAGATTTCTCTCAGGGAGGGTTAGAGAGTACTAAATTTTGTAAGGGTGGAGAGGGTTAGACATCACATTGTCATCCAAATAGGGGTGGGGTGTGGACACCATGAGYCTCTSCTTGATTTGCCCCAAACAGCTGTCATGATTATCATTCTTAATCCTTGTTCCAGGTAATTTGTATGCTGTAGGGGGTCTTGTRTGTGGAGTAGGGGCACATAATAGCACCCCATTCCGTTACTGTGACAATGGCGTGGAATGCTACAACACAGAAGYTGGTGAATGGTCCAGGGTAGCTTCTATGAATCAGTGTCGCAGCAACCACTGTGTGCAAGCTTTAGGTGAGTTTGCAGGCAGCTATAATAAACACAGGAAGTCCACAGGATAGATATTGTTGACATYATSCATATTTTTTCTTAGATGGATACCTGTACGCTTTGGGAGGCTATGATGGCACTTCATATTTGAAGACTGTAGAATGTTATAATCCCAAAATAAATGAATGGCATCAATGTGCTCCAATGCACTTCAGTCGAAGCTGCTTTGCAACAGCTGTAGCTGATGGATATCTGTATGCGCTAGGGGGATATGGCCCTTCATATCTGAGTACAGTTGAGAGATATGATACAGAGTCTGATACRTGGGAAATGATGCCAGCCATGAGCACCAATAGAATCAACTTTGGTGTTGGGGTGATTGCACGCTATTTGTATGTTGTGGGTAAGCTGTGATATAACAACATTTTAATATTTGATATAAATGATATGTAATTATTTGCCTCACAAATCTGACTCATTGATACACAAAATTCCCAAATTTTAGTGAAAAATTCTCTTAGTGTGTTCACAACTAGCAACTCAGAAAAATACAAACCATGATATATTAAATGCACCAATATCTTTCCTTTTAAGGTGGTCATAATGGGGTTTCTCATTTGCGAAGTGTTGAGTGTTTTGATCCTATATCCAATGAATGGACAATGGTTACACCTATGAATAARCCAAGAACGGGGTTAAGTGTGGCGGTAGTGGATGRTATACTGTATGCCCTTGGTGGCCATGATGGYTGTGGTTATCTTAATCTTGTACAGTGTTACAATCCATGCACCAACACTTGGCACAACATTAAACCCATGCTTTCAAGTCGATGCAGCTTTGGAATTGCAGTCATGTAACTCAGAGATTGGTATTTATATCTAAGACAAGTTTACAAGATATTTTACATTGTAAAAGTTTATTTTGGAAAGAAACATATGATGTTTTTGGATGCAYGTTCTAATTATTGCTCTGCAAAAGCAAATAGGTTCAGCAAACACAATGTTAGTTGTTAAATCCTGAAACAGATTTTGAAACAACATCCCAGTGGTCTATATTCTGATAAAGGTTGAACAAGACTTTAAATGCTCACTACTGTACTTTACACATAACTGTGCCACTGTTRATGATGGGATAACAATTGATACTTATTTTTATATCTGGTAGTTTATCCAATTGTATCTAAAAGATACGATATGATATTTGGAGCCATAATAAATATATGTTTTACAAGAAAATCTAAAAGGTCATTGCCAGCCTTCATACCATGGGAGACAGGCTTGAA